AACAACACCGGCAACAACTACCCCCTGAAAGAAAACTGGGATGTAGAAATTGCTACAGTGGCACAACCTTTGCCCGGGTGGAAAGAATCATTACCATCACCCCCACCACCATGGTCTCCAGCGTGGCAATGTGCCCGGTGCCATGGGGGCCTGCCCGTCTATGCCCAGGGTACAAGGGTACGGGATGGAACTTTCGAGTGCGTCTACTGCGGGACTGTACTGAAGGACACCTACGTGCGTCGGTTAACGCACACCAGTAGGTGTCCTGTCAGACGCGACATGAAAGCTCCTCCGTGCCTTTGTACCGTGGGATGCACAACCATGTAAACATCAAAACGGCCCTTTTCAGGGCCACCCATCTCTCCCGAAAGACAGCTTTTCCTCCTTTGCTTTGACGACCCTCCCACCCCTTCTCCCCTCCCCCTCCCTCCCTTCACCACCCCCACCACCACCCCCACGCCTATTTCTATTTTTAGAACCACACCACAACAACAACCCTGTCGATCTTGTACCCCATCGTACGGGCGCTTCTCCGGGTTTCCCCCCCCATCCCCATCAAATTGTTCTTTTGGTGGTTATTGAAATCACTCGAATGTGTAACTTTGAACAAAATTTTACTGATGATGCATGAAATGCAACTAATTTTGTTGATATATGTAAACTATTTTAGAAATTATTACCTGTTTCGTGAAAATAGGTGTTGGTGTATTTTTGTTCATGTGTTGTCATTGAAACGTATTGATTGCTATGTGCTATAACTATTTCATGGGACCACGGCCATCCTTTTCTCGAAGCGGGAGGCAAAAATATTTGTACAAGTATCACTTGTTCCCAACTTGATTCAAATAAAACTGTTTTCTACGTATCTCTATTCACAGGTTCAGGACATTTGTCAAAAAGAAAGCAAATACCATGTGAAGTTTACTGAGAATACAATATGTGAAATATGTCTTTCTCGTGTGCTTTTGTGGTTGAATTCTCTAAGTATAAGATATTTTGATTCCAAATATACATGCATTTACGCTGTGAATGGTGATTTTGTATTTAATGTAAAACATAGCGATATGTACTCTATGTTGGCCTACTTCACGGTAATTATTTCTTGTGTGGAATGACTGTGGATGATACCACAGAACAAAGAATTTCACGAAGAAATCACAACTGTGCACTGTGTGAGTGTACGTGATGTGTTTTGAGTTTTCTTTAACCTCAAAGACTAAGCAGACCGCCTCCGTGGTCTTGTGGTAGAGCGTCCGCCCGGAGAGCGGAAGGTCCAGGGTTCGATCCCGGGCCGCGTCATACAAAAAGACGTTAAAAGATTGTACTTGTTGTTACCCTGTCTGGCGCTCGGCATTAAGGGGCTAAAACAAGGACTGGTCGGCTCGGAGTCAGTATACTGTGTCTGAGTGGGGTATTCATGTTAAACTGCGGCATGGTATCTCAGTGAGCTAGCACTATAAATCGGCATCAGTCCGGACTAGTACAAGCAGCCACACACACACATACACGTGCATGCACGTCGCTATATAAGTGCAATAATCTTGGACGCGACGTTAAACCCAATTTCACCTCACCTCAAAGACTAAGCTAGGCTAGTGAGGCTTGAAAGGGACACACGCCCTAGATTCCATGGGTTGATTAATTACGAATGCAAATATACACGGAGACATGCATTTACCTTAAACGTTTTTATGAGCGAAAACAATAACAACGAACTGCTTTTCTAATGTTAATTAAGTCGAGAGCACTTTTACTTCGCTATTTGTGTTCATGCGACACTATCTGTGTTTAGTGTTGTCCAATCGCAACCTCCGACAAATCGGGCGCCGTTTGTCTTCTAGTTTAATGGGTACAATGTGTGAAGCCCATTTCTGGTGTCCCCCGCCGTGATATTGCTGGAATATTGCTAAAAGCGGCGTAAAACCATACTCACTCACTCACTCACTTCTAGTTTAAGAAGACAAGAGCCCAGTCGATATCTTAATGCTACTTTTATCGAGTGGTATGCCTCTTGCAAGGGACACTACTCATCCCATTTATTACTCGCTCGCAGTGCTACTGTCATGGCGAATCTGTTTACGCTTTCCTGTTGAAGATCGGCCTGTTGTAAAATGAACATACGTCGCTGCTATCCCTTCGAAGCTAAAGTCTCCCTAGCCCAGTCTGTCGGGGGAACTAATGTAAGTTTTGATTCATTCATCTCTCGATATATTTGCAATGTCAATTTAATGTTCGAAAGAAGGGTAGATCTATGCGAGCATAGATAGCCTTGGCTTTTGCCCTGACATTGTGACAAGGGAATACAAACGCGGAGAGCCAGGATAACAGACTTTACAGCAAAATTACTGAAAATGACCACTGAAAATTAGGGGGTGCAGGCTAAAACGGCACCTCAGCAAAACGTCACTGATTTCTCTGGCGAAACTTGTAAACTTGTTTTAACCATGTTAACATTTCACAATAATTGGTGTTTGCAAGTTACCATGTAAGTTTAATTTCATTTATTTGACCAAGGTAAAAAAAAATAAGGTGCCGATTTTGCAATTTTGGCAATAGTAGCTGTTTTCGCTTGACGCGAGGTACCGTTTTCACCAATATGTGGCGTTTTCGCCTGGTGCCGTTTTGCTGAGGTGCCGTTTTAGCAATAACCCAAAATTAGGTACATCGCCGTCTTTTACACATTACTAAATCACCATTCACTGCGTTATTTACAGTATGTTTTGAAATCTTAATTTAAGATATTTACTTGGAGAAATTACTTTAAAAAATAGCGTGTATTAGTGATCACGGGTATCTGTCTATTATCCAATCGCCAATGATCATCCAAAACGTCTCCGATGACCCAAGAACCATTTTGAATGTTTGGGAAAATACGCAAACCCAACGCCGAAGTGAATTCCGCTATATTGGACAGTGTTAGATATTCATGTTTCTGTATGCCGTTTATGAAATGCCTATTACATCACTTACATCTCAAACTCGGCTGCAGGACAAACATCCTTGAATTCCATACACATTTTAGAATCAAGTGACAAATGATCTTTGTCACCAACACATAGTGTCAAGATGAAATCAAGCAAAATAAATCAAGTGTGAAAACAAACTCTGTGTCCGGAAAAGTGCACTTTTTTAAATGTAAATAAAGCCAAATTAAGATTTTACACTGTGTAGCACTTTTTCCTATTTTGAGCTATCCATTCGTCTATTTGTTGCATGCATTGGCTCAACATTTTCAATTGTAGCAAGAATTAGGGAAATGAAATTAGATAATGAGTGGTAAATTCAACAGAAATTGTCAAAGTTTCTATCTTGTGTGACGCCATGACTGTGCAAGGTCACGCACTAACATTGGTATTTATCAGAATGTCTGACAATTTCACTTGGTTACAATGAAAAATATTAAAACAAATAACATTACACAGATTGTCAGAATGTTTTTGATTACTTGCATGTCACATTTATGTATATACGATCCCTGAGTCAATGAAAACCCCCTCGTAAAATTCTGCGTACTGATGTCAGTGTACATAGCATTTTGCAAAAGTCAGTGACCAGATAGGTCAGGATTGTTGTACATATTTGGCATTTTCTTTGAGGTGAAGGTCAATGACTGAAAGTTCACCCGATCCGTGTATTTGGCTGTTTATGTTGATGTAGATTTTGCATATATTTTACATATTTTTTCATTCCATTTTGGATATTTATTAATATTCAATCTGATTTGATATGTAGATATAGGCAACAAAATTATGAACCTTTGATAATCTCCTGTTCGCTTGATCATTGTTTACAAAAGAAATTGGCCTGTGAAGATCCAGGGTAGAATAGGTCTTTGGCAACCCATACTTGCCGTAAATGGCAATAAGAAATATTGTATATACGACACTATAATATAAACTTATCAATTTCTTATGTTTGTTTGTAGTTTAACACAGCACTCAGCAGTTTTCCAGCTATATGACGGTGGTCTGTAAATAATCAAGTCTGGACCAGACAATCCAGTGATTGATTTAATAATTTTTATAATTTGTTTTTTATACCTAACGTATACAGTTTCAGTATTGATATTGGTGTTGAAATAGTTTGGTTCCATGTGATCAAAACATCATGAAAATATATATTGTCCTGATCCACATCAAACTCTCACCAAGTTACCTGAGTTACAATAAACTAGTGCTAAGCATAACTGAGTTATGCCCCCTTTTCTTTTACAAGTGTAACCTCTCAGTCATCTTTTGACGTCATAGAGGAAAATCAGTTTTCAACATTTACGGCAAGCTGTTGTTTGTATAGAACGTATAACATTATACATAGCATATAAATCCATTTGATATATATTTATGTCATTCAGATATTATGCAATATTGTAAATAAGAGCAAACGACAATTCCAATCCAACTGTCGATTTATTCCATGATATGGTCAAGATATATTCAGAAGGATAGGATTGACTGCAAAATTAAATAAAACATCAATGTATATAGCCGTCAATTAATGCAAAAATCATTCTAACAACACAAATTTGCTTTTCGATGAATAATCTATCAAAAACATTACATTTTACCAAAAATACAATTCTAAACGTTAGATATCATAATAACAACAATGTTCACTAAATTGTTTACACAAATAAAGTTTACATACCATTTTATATGCTCCGCATATCGACAAACAACAGACACGAGCGTGCCTCTCACTCAGCCACATAACAAAATACTAGAGTTATCGTTCTTGGCATGCTCTTCTCATGCGCTCATACAACAAGTCTATTTATACGAACTTTAAACATAAACCTTACAAATATTCCGTAAAGCTGCTAAAGACAAAAAAATCATAGTTGTTATTGGTGGTGTCCTTGTAGGAAACATCATTAGGAAATGCATGAACATGATAAAAGAATGTGACAACTCTTTTATGTTTTTCAGTGAACACCATAACATCCACAAGTTAATAATGGAAGTACCAAGCCCACCACAGAATCCAGGCTCTGTTACTAACACATGTGTAGTCAGGGACTGTGTGAGAGAGTTGCTGGAAACAGGTGATGTTAAGAGACACTCTGTTACTGACATGCTGGAAAATGGTGATCTCAGGAAAAACTCTGTTACTGATGTGATGGAAACAGGTGATCTCAAGAAACAGGAAGGAATCAAGCCTTATCAGTGTGTTGTATGTGGGAAAGAGTTTAAGCGCTCAAATAAACTGCAGGCACACATGAGGATTCACAGCGGAATCAAGCCTTATCAGTGTGTTGAATGTGGCAAAAAATTTACAGAGTCAGGTAACCTGCATAGACACATGAGGATTCACAGTGGAATCAAGCCTTATCAGTGTGTTGAATGTGGGAAAGAATTTAAAGACTCAAATAAACTGCAGACACACATGAGGATTCACAGTGGAATCAAGCCTTATCAGTGTATTGAATGTGGGAAAGAATTTACAGACTCAGGTAATCTGCAGAGACACATGAGGATTCACAGTGGCATAAGGCCTTATCAGTGTGTTGAATGTGGGAAAGGATTTTCACGATCATGTCACCTGCAGACACACATGAGGATTCACAGCGGAAACAAATCTTATCAGTGTGGTGAATGTGGGAAACGATTTATACAATCATATAACCTGAAGAGACACATTAGGAGCCACAGTGGAATCAAGCCTTATCAGTGTGTCGAATGTGGGAAAGAATTTACAGAGTCAGGTAGCGTGCAGAGACACATGAGGGTTCACAGTGGAATCAAGCCTTATCAGTGTGTTGAATGTGGGAAAGAATTTGCATATTCAGATAGCCTGCAGTCACACTTGAGGAGTCACAGTGGAATCAAGCCTTATCAGTGTGTTGAGTGTGGTAAAGAATTTACACACTCATATTGCCTACAGACACACATGAGGATTCACAGTGGAATCAAGCCCTATCAGTGTGTTGAATGTGGGAAAGAATTTAGTGTATCTGGTAGCCTGAAGAGACACACGCGGATTCACAGTGGTATCAAGCCTTATCAGTGTGGTGAATGTGGGAAAAGATTTTCAGTATCATGTCATCTGCAGACACACATGAGGATTCACAGTGGTATCAAGCCTTATCAGTGTGTTGAATGTGGGAAAGGATTTACACGATCAGGTGGCTTGCAGAAACACATGAGGATTCACAGTGGAATCAAGCCTTCCTAGTAGGCACAGACATATTGAATCAATGTCATACTTCATGGTTGAAATGTTTTAGTCCAGGTTGGTAATCTCTCATGAGAATTTTGGCTGCTTTGACTTTAACCCAGCTGTTTTTGTTTAACGATTTGTTACCATGGGTGTGTCTTGGGATGACCAATATCAGACAGAGACTTAACAACAGTCAAAGCAGTGAAAACGTCTAACAGCGCCTCTGGGTATCCGGGTGGTTAAAACATTCGCTTGTCATGCCAAAGAACTGGGTTCAATTCCCTACATAAGTACAATGTGTGAAGCCCATTTCTGGTGTCCCTTGCTGTATGTTGCTGTAATACTGCAAAAAGTGGCATAAATTCAAAATCACACGACACTGAAGATCCCGGGTAGAATAGGTTTTCAGCAACCCATGCTTGCCGTAAACATGGTAAAAGGTGACTATGCTTGTCGTAAAAGGCGACTAATGGGATTGGGTGGTCATGCTCGCTGACTTGGTTGATGCATGTCATCGATCCCAGTTGCGTGGATCTATGCTCCTGATATCAATCACTGGATTGTCTGGTCCAGACTTGATTATTTACAGTCGTCATTTATTTATGGTCGTCATATAGCTGGAATATTGCTGAGTGCGGCGTTAAACAACAAACAAAGCCACAAGCTTCTTTCTGTTCTTACTATATCAATCAACATTATCCCTTGGTGTTGTTGTTAATCCTTTTCATGAATACTCTCATGTTGTGTTTTGTTAGTTCTCAATAGATTTATGTAACCCAGTACTATACTCTCTTACTTCACTCTTGCTTGACAACAGTATAAGGATCTATACTGAAACGTTGCATCATAATAGAATAAAGAAATTGTCATCCATAAGATATCTTGTCTTTGCCTTTTACTTGCACACTTCTAAAATTGTCAATCAAATCAAATGCTCATAATGAAATGACCCAGTGTGTATTTTGAGGTATAATGAGTGAGTGTGATTTTATGCCGGTTTTAGCAATAATCCAGTATCACAGTAAGGAACACCAGAAATGGGATTCACACATTGTAGCCATATTGGAATCGAACCCGGGCCTTCAGTGTGAAGAGATAATGCTTTAACCACTGGGCTTTCTGCCACCCTATCCAATTATTGTACCAGATGGTGAGGGCGTTTACTCATGCTATCAACCACCAAATACATGTGTACCAAATTCGCTTAACAGACCAGACCCGTGAAGATCGGGGGTAGAATAGGTCTTCAGCAACCCATAAAAAGGTGACTTTGCTTGTCGTAAGAGGCGACTAATAGGATCGGGTTGTCAGGTTCGCTGACTTGATTGATGCATGTCATCGTATCCCAATTTCGTGGGTCGATGCTCATGTCAATCACTGGATTGTCTGGTCCAGATTTGATTGTTTGCAGACCACCGTCATACAGCTGGAATATTGTTCAGTGCAGCCTTAAACAACATATAAACAAACACACAAACCAAACACATGTGCCAAATTCACTTATTAACAGACCACCATGATATTGTTTGAATAGAGCTGACTGTGGAATAAAATCCAAAACATTCAGCCATGACACTGAACATGGAGAATTCTTCTGATTGGTCAAAATCGGGTATCATATTCCATTGGATACCTCACCATTAACATTTGCATATAACAATGGCTGCAATGGATAACCCATTGGAATGAATCCGTTTGACAGCAGAACAGCTTATCAAACGTGATCAAATCAATTTCAGAAAACACATAATTATGTCATTAACACACTAATCACTGTGTCTGGGCCACACAATCGTGAAATACAATGAGCAGTCGCTCAGAGACACTCGTGTCATACAATGCCGACTCGTGTTCAGCTTAAAACGGTGGTAATCCGACATTCTTCAGGGTTGGGGCGGTGGGGTAGTCTTGTGATTAAAGTGTTCGCTCGTCACGCTGAAGACCCGGGTTCGATTCCCAACATGGGTACAATGTGTGAAGCCAATTTCTGGTGTCCACTGCCGTGACATTGCTGGAATATTGCTAAAAGCAGCGTAAAATTCAACTCACTCACACTTCGGGTTCGTTGTCGAACTTAGGCCAGCAGCTCATTTCCACCAGGAAATCATCACGTAAATGGTGAACATAGTTACAGATTGGGGTTGTCGTCTAGGTTCACCATGAACATTTACATTACTGAAGAACAGTGGGTTAAGGTTAGCCATGTCGAAATTCTGCGTGGAGAGAGAGTCATTCTGAATATGTATTACTGTTGCTGAGATATTTCAAACCAAATGGTACATTAGTACAACTTAAACTATGACTCTGTTATTTTATAAGTTATCTGAGAAATAAATTAGTTCAACATTTTTGTCACTATTTCTTTAACCTATCATTGTTACAATGGAGTAAGCGAGTTTGGTTAAACGCCGCTTTTAACAGTATTACAGCTATATCGCGCCTGTCAACTTAATGTGGAAGGAAAGCCCGAAGTGATGCAGGTCTCAGACGTTTACCACTTCGGTGAAACCCACGAGCATGGGTATGGTGCTGACAAACTTAGAAACATAATCGAGGCGAACCGGGATTCGAACCCACAATCATAGCTTTCTGGCGTGCCCAAGGGACGCAGCTCTGCACAGCGAATCGCAGCGCCTTAGACGACTGGGCCACCCGTGCCCACTGTTACACTGGAAGGTGTCATGTTAAGTTCCAAGACGTTGTGTGTCCATGGAGGGTTATTCATCAATTCTATTTAAAAACTAATTATTTTGGAACCATCAATTTGAACTAGTCAAGGATATAATTACTTCATCTTGAACTTGGGTAATATTATGTTTCAATTAAAACAAGAGGTGCCTAATCTACAGAAAGACGACCTCAATTTTCAAATCTCTGCAAAAAATCTAAAACCACTGTACGAGTCCGACTATATCATGAGCGTGTGTTTGAATCGCCTTCAAATATTGATGATACCAGGTTTTCGCGAAAATGTGAGCGTATCCTGCCCAAAGCGTATCCTGCCTGTCACAAACACATTCAAAGGCTAGTCAACTGTTCACCCGAAATAGTTGTGTGGATGTAGAGAATCTTACCAGAGTGTCTTTTGATATCAAATATATCAACACGAGTTGATAAAAGTGTAAAAAGTTTAATTATCAATGATAGAGGTTATCACGCGAGTGTGTTTGGGGATGGTAAATTTAATATCCTGAATTAAGAATAAACATTGTATTTAGCGAGCCTTGGCGAGCTAAATACATAGTGTTTATTCCTAATACAGGATATTTACCATCCCCAAACACACAAGCGTGATTACCTCTTTATCATATAATGTCATTCTTTAATTCTGTACTTCAAAATAGCCTTCCCTCTCTCACAAACATTACCGAAACATTGCGAGTTTTCCTGGAATGCGCGCATTAATATTTATTACGTCACACTGTAAGTGATGTGTCAGTCGGACAGTGACAGTAGCCAATATAGTTCCAAGCGAAATCTCTTTCTTATACAGTGGCGAAGCAACATATACGCAAAACAACAATTGTTTTTAATTGCCTTTCGCGGCAATCCATCGGCCTGTCTGCTAGAGTAGCTGCCCTTTGTCAAAGGGAAGCTACTCTAACCCTAGTCTATGAGACGTCACGGCCACGGTCAGACGCACACTCCTTCGCAGTGGTGACTCAGTATAACACCACTTCCACAGGCTAATTTGCATATCACGTGACCGGACTTTTCTCTGGTTTGTAAACAAACGCGCTTTTTCAGAAATCAGTATAGAACGGACTAATGCAAGTATTTGGGGGCGCTTTACATATTGTTTTGCATAACTATATAGATATGCTACTACAACTGCGACAGTGAGTTGCATGACAATATATATTTATGCATCAAAGTGACCGTGTCGCTAGCTCTCCGTTAGGCTTCGATGACAGCACGTGGAGCTGTACAACAAATGTTAACATAGGATAACTACGCCAAAAGAAGTAGATTTTTACGTATTTGCATACTTTCTCAATGAAAGTTAACCATTCTCTGACATTTGTTTATGAAAATGTGTAGACTTGTCAAACATGAAACGGATGAAAAGCATATGCAATATCTTGAATGGACTGTGAAAGATGTGACGAATCGTCACATGGCGCTGGCCTGTGGCAGAGGTACTCTGGGTAGGAGAGTGGGTCAGACGTTGTTGACAGTCGGTCTGTCCAGTCATAACGTTTAGAAATGTAATCAGATGTACACACAGTGACCAAACGAAACAAGGTAACAATTCAAACATATTTCGGCCAAATCCAACTGTTTTAATTTGTGGGGAAAGGTTCAAGCCGCAGAGGTCTACAAGCACAGATATGGCTACTGATCCCGCTTGGCTAGTTCTCGTGCCCTCGCCAAATTGTGTCGAAATTTATATCTCCAAAGTTGCCAAAACTTATAAAATGCCTTAGCTACGTCAAAGTTAGACACTGATTTTCAGTATATTAGACTGTTCTTTTAATATTGAAAGCAAATTATCTCTGTAGTTTATCTAGATTGACGATGGTTAATTCTGACTCGATCGTCGAATGACGAGGGCGACGCCAAAATTGAATGCATTGTTGGGAGTTATTATGCCCACCATACAGGATACCTAGAGAATACTACACCCATTCTCGTTAGATAGCCTACTGTCGTAACTGTTTTCGGGTGTCCAGTGCGACCTTACTACAGTTACTGAAAGTACTGCCGTTCCTGGTCATCATGGTCAGTTACGCCATGACTTTGCAACTCGCCTTGTCAGCATCGGCTCGGCTCCGTCAAGGAGTGATTGGTCTAACGACGCTTACTCCAAGTTGTCTCTATCAGCATTCATACTCGCATAATAAAGAAACGCAACACTAGCTTTATACTCACACAGTTTTACTTACTCTCAGCCCATAAAAACACCTGTCGTGGAAGGAATCGTTTTAAACGAAACGCCATTAACCAACTTACATAATTTTTTCCAGAAATATATAAAGATTGTGTCGGGGTTTGAATTTGCAAATTGTGACAATCAAACAGTAAATAATAAATAAGGAATACCCGCTGAATACGGAAATTAGTTAAAGGATATCCAGCCGTTAACGTGAGGTCTCGGGTACAAAGATAGAATTGTGAAACCATAATTTCATGACAAGCAAAGGAATTTGTCAACTTAAAATCATGTGTCCTTTCTGCAAATTTCATCGAAAACTTTATTCTCAATTAATAAATGTGGGATCATCTTAAAAGCGGAATCCCCAAGAAGAGGTTGTAAACTTTCAATGTTTTTTTTTAAGATGGATGCATTAAAAAATTCCGATAGAAGTAAGAGATAAGGTGGGTATAATTTTGAAGCAGTTGTCCATTTCTCACATAATTGAATTCTCATGTCTATGTCGAATTCATCCAGTTTCAACGCACAGTGACAGGAAATTTTAAATATACAAATGTCACGACCCTTGCTCGTTAGTGTTATGGTTTTTATGCCAGTTAAAAGAATTGTGCCTGGGTCGATTTCGAGAGCCATTGAACGTAGCCCATTTAATCCGAATTTAGTATCACACAAGGATTTAATTCTTGGTTGTCTTGAAGAAACAAAGCAAGTGCGCATGTGAGCGATGTTTTTGGTTTCGGACTATGAAAAATTGGACAGTGTTTTTCGTGGTCACCATTACATGTTTGAAAATCCCTAGCCGAAAATTCTATATACTTATCTGTCGCCTCCGAAACAGCAAGATAATCTGGTCAATTCATAACCTGAGTGACATGCGTACTTGATTGATTAAGTTGTAAGCCAAAAGAATTTATTCGATATACATCAAGGAGAGAAGAATGAGTCTGGATAGGAACAATAAGCGAAATTAAAATTGAATTTGAATTCCGAGAACAGTGAACAGTGCGTTCCCGATAATAATTACCTGGATCCTTATGTGCAACGTGAAACAACGGGTATTCTGCATTGAGACGTTTTTGAATCATTTGTAACCCTTTCTTTACTTCCGAAACTGTGTAAGCCCTTAACGTTTGAAAAAACCCAATTATGCCATCTGCCTTTTAATACATTAAACTGTCTTCAGTCAAATTTTTGTCAATCTTGCCCTATTAGTATCTTGTCTTTACTGTTGAAAATAAATAACATGTATACTGCATACTCGACTTGCGTTTCGTTTGCGTGTGAGTATATATGTGCATATCATTATGTTGTTCGGATATAAAACAGTATATTGAGTTTACATAAAGCTGTCAAAAAATCTGTTGGTCACACTGTACTTTATAGATGTAAGTAAAAGTGGCTAAATTTAGAGGTTTTTAACAAGACATAAAATTGGACGACATATGTAACTTTCTGCTTTTCAAAACAGCCTGGCATGGGGTAAAAATTCAATGCTGTAGAACTCCGTTCAATTGCAAAGTCGATGGTTGGCCAATTGTCGCGCGACCCCAATTCTCGCACAACGTTTAGCTATCACAACTGGGACTCCAGCGGTGATAGTACGCAGAGATCTAGCGAGTTTTCTGAAGTTGAGAAACATAACACTTGGTATTTCAATGCAGTGAACACAACCCTTTGACTATTGTCATACAAGATCGAGCTATACTGAACATCAAAAGTTCCTGTGACATTGAATAAGATTTAACGCAAAGTGACGTCAAATAAGTATATCAAAATACGTGATTTCATAAAAAAACATGAAGATGCCAAAATGTCAATTTACAAATCAATATCGTGTGTGTCCACCTCTGGTTGCGATGCAAGCAACGCATCTTCGTCTCATGGAATGGACCAAGCGTCGCACAAAGTCCTGTAGGATATCTGTCCATATCTGCTGGAGCATGTTTCGAAGCTCCTGGAGTGTCTGTGGAACACGTGGCTGACGTCGAAGGCGCCGATCCATCTCATCCCACATGTGCTCGATTGGTGAGAGATCAGGGGAGCGAGCCGGCCAGGGGATGACATTCACGTTGTTATGTTGAAGAGAATGCTGAACAAGTCGAGCAATATGAGGCCGGGCGTTGTCATGTTGAAAGGTAATGCCTGGGCCATGACGACGCAAAAACGGTAGAACAACAGGGCTGATGATCTCGTCGCGGTAGCGCGGACCATTGAGATTTCCCTCTACCACTATCAAACGGATCCTCTCTCTTGCTGTAATCCCATCCCATACCATAACGCTGCCGCCACCGAACCGATCTTCTTCCATAACACAATGATTGACGGAACGTTCACCTCGACGTCGGTACACTCGAATCTGTCCATCGCTGTGGCTGAGGTGAAAACGAGACACGTCAGTGAATAGAACTTGTCCCCACTGCATGGCCGTCCAGCGTAGACGCTGTCTGTACCACTGTAGACCCTGCACATCTGAGGTGGCGACGTACGGTTTGTGAAGATATCCGTCGAAGGCCAGGGATGCTTCTTGCAGTCACTGTTGCTGGCTGGAATCGATTTCGTAGGTGTGTTGTTCGAATCCAGTTGTCGATTATTGTTTACGTGTGGCCTGCCACTCCGAGGATGGTCTCTGACTGCATTCGTCTGTTGCCAACGTTGCCATAAACACCAAATGGTGTTTCTGTGGACGTTGAATTGTCTTGCAGCATCACGTTGACTCGATCCTGCTTCAAGCATAAGCAGACGCTCATTTTCGGACAGGCGTGGCATTTCGTAATGTTAAATAATTGCGTAATTGTGTTGTTTTTCTGAGTGGTTGTTGTCAGCACGATGCTAAACAATCCATATGGAATCCCGTTAACGCACATGTTTTTATACCCTTTCTTGGGTAGTGAAATGCATTGGGCTTGCATAAAAGTCAACTTTTGCATGGAATGCATGCTTTTCTGTAGCAGTTGCGTTTTTGTGACTTGCTTCCATACATGTACCACAATATTGAAAACCAATCTTTACTTGTTTGAAAAATACACTAAAATATTGGTGTCACAGGAACTTTTGTTTTTGAGTATATGTGACGCAACTCGTGAAAATATCTCCTTCTCCCCCCGTCACTCGATTAGCAAGTCGTACCAACTGGTTGTACCGTGTGAACAGCCCAGGCGATATGTCAACGCAACTTTTATCGAGTGGTATGACTATAGCAAAGCGTTCCCATTCATTACTCGCGCTCAGCGTTACTGTTGTGGCTGAGCTGTTTATGCATTGATTCGAAGATCGGCCTTGCAATCCTTTCGAAGCCAAAGTCTCCATAGTCCAGTCTGTCACGGGAACGAATGTAAGTTTTAATTCATTCATCTCTCGATATAGATCTAAACTATTTGAAATGTCGTCAAAATGTTCGAAAGGACGACAGATAGGCCTGTTGGGCCGACACAAGCGCGCAAACCCAAAAGATCGCACACAAGGCGACATACAAATACAAGGCGACATGTACAGTAAACTACGGTTACAACGAAATCAAAGGGAACACTAATTTGAATTCGTTATAAACGTAGTTCGTTATAAAGCATATTTACAACATAGATAGATCAAATGGGCGGGACCAAGAAATAGTTCGTTAAAGATCTACGTCAGTCCGTTGTAAGTGTGTTCGTCATAAACTTAGTTTACTGTATGTCATGGTATGTTGTAACCGAAAGACAGACGGCCTCGTCTGCGAGTTTGTTATCAAAGAACATTTTTAGGTCCAGTCCATTGCTGCTGGTACATTTTAGTAGTAGATCTACCTGTGAAGACAACGACCCCTTCAGCGGTCATCGCGAATGACTCTGAATTATTTCATAACGCCTGTCATGGACAAGTTCAAAAGTTTGATGTCGCATAAAATCTTTGCTCATTTAAGGGAAACTACAATCAATTTTCATTTGTCTAGCCGCCGGTGGCCCAGTCGTCTAAGGCGCCGCGATTCGCTGTGCAGAGTTGCGTCCCTTGGGCACGCCAGAAACCTATGATTGTGGGTTCGAATCCCGGTACGCCCCGATTATGTTTCTAGGTTTGTCAACACCATACCCGTGCTCGTGGGTTTCACTGAAGTGGTAAACGTCTGAAACCTGCCTGCATCACTTCTGGCTTTCCTTCCACATTAAGCTGACACAACGCGATATACCGTAACTGGAATACTGTTAAAAGCGGCGTTAAACCCAATCCACTCACTCACTCTAGCCGTCGTCATTTTAATTAGAGCGCGTTATCACCAGAAGCCAATTATCGCCAGCGACCCAACAAACAGGTCTTCTGACCGCCAACTAGAAAACCTTGTTGAGAGCTGGGGGTAATTCCCTTGAATCATCTCATTTAAGATTATGATGTTTACTGTGACCTTTCAACTTGCGAATTCATATGCGTGCTTAAATGTGTATGTACAATTATGTAGTTTGGTAAACAGAAAAAGTGTATGTATTATTTTTTTAACAATGAAATTCAGTTTGTATTCTCAACCATTTATCATAGTCTTGTTTCCACCCTTGCCACATCAAGCCTACTTTCCTGGGCTAAATATGATTGGACTATCGCACATTTCAATAGTCAAATCAGAGAACATTTCACAAAATCAACATCCACGACTGGTACACCTTCGTATGAAAGTGCCTGTCTTTCTAGTGCGCTGCCTGTCTCTGTTGACACAAATATGTCTTTTTAATCTATTAAAACCCCTAACAATTCCCTCTGTTTAAGTCAGGGATGAAATCGCGAATATTTTTGTTATCTGATCGACTTGGTCGTCACCTATGGTAGTTCGTGGTAGTTGCCATCATTGTGAACTATACAAGATAAGAACAGTGATCTGATTGGATATCATGTTTTGATTACAAGGGGCACAACTCATGATCTAGGCGAGGTGAAAAGTTGCCTTGGTGCAGCAAGGGTAGAAACTAGGCTTTGATATAAGCTAGTGGACGTGCTTGCCTTGTGAAGTTGATTCCATACAGCAGTGACTCTTATCTTATCTTGCAAATTGCATATAATACAACAATTACCACTCCCTTCTTGTCATCCATGTTTCATGTGTGACCAGGGGCGGTCGGGTAGCCTAGCGGTTAAAGCGTTCGCTTGTCACGCTGAAGACCCGGGTTCGATTCCCGACATGGGTACAATGTGTGAAGCCCATTTCTGGTGTCCCCCGTCGTGATATTGCTGGAATATTGCTAAAAGTGGCGTAAAACCATACTCACTCACTCACTCACTCACTCATGGTGCGACCTTCCACCTGCATATTTGTTGTCATCCACTTGATGCTCAGTTAATGACTTTATTACAGGTATAATAGTTGTAGAACTGCTCAGATTAGCTGACAAAGACTGCAGAATACTGTAAATCTTAAAATTAATGCATCTCTAAGTAATACGACTGCTTGCCCCTAGCCAAAAATGTGACTCAATATCAATGCATCTCCCCCCAACATCCCCAGTGAAATGTCCTTACCTTAATCAAACTCAAATAGCATAATTAAACCAACATGACGGGACAAAGGCTGTAGATCTGAGTAGTGTGATGAAGCGCTTTGGGCTGTGCAGCGGTAGAAACTAACATTTTTAGTCCACTAGTCCTTACAATGATAACATATAGCAAAACCTTTAAAAATGGGAAATTTCTACTGGTCCTTATGATACCTTAACTATTGGGCAGTTTGGCAAGGACTACAGGACTAGTGCCAATTTCTAAAGCTGTTGTGTCAGCCTTTGATGAAGTGTTGCTTGGGTGGCGTCTGTCTGTAAATCGTATGGAAATGGTAAATCATCATGTTTATTGATAATTCATTTGGGGGCACGTGTCTCCAAGTCGTCTAAGGCGCCGCAATTCGCTGTGCAGAGTTGCGTCCCTTGGGCATGCCAGAAACCTATGATTGTTGGTTCGAATCCCGGTTCGCCCCAATTATGTTTCTAGGTTTGTCAGCACCATACCCTTGCTCAGGGGTTTCACCAAAGTGGTTCACGTCTGAGACCTGCATCACTTCAGGCTTTCCTCCCACATTAAGCTGACACACCGCGATATAACTGGAATACTGTTAAAAGCGGCGTTAAACCCAACTCACTCACTCACTATTATCTTATTTCTTTCAGTACATGATAGTTTGTTGTGCATGTTTAAAAAAAACCCCAGCTGTGTTGAGGGATGTGTACATATTAGGGCGGTAACGATTCACTGATACCTATGATATCATTGATACTTAGACACACACAATACTTGAAACATCATTTTGTGAGGTCGCGATATACTATATTTAGAACAGGAACAAATCGAGTTACCTCCCATTATAGTAGAAGTATCATAGCGCCACCTGTAAGCATGGCAGAACACAAGGATGTGGTAGCTAAGGACGCACTAAGTGTTACATTTAACATGTTTAATAGTTTGTTTGTTAAATGCCGCACTCAGCAATAATCCAGCTGAATGACGGCGGTCTGTAAATAATCAAGTCTGGTCCAGACAATCGAGTGGTTGACATCATGAGCATTGATCCACGAAATTGGGATACGATGACATGCATCAACCAAGTCAGCGATTGAGAGTATAATGAGAGGAATGCGCATATGCGAACCGCTGTTATCCCCACCCTATAATAAACAGATACATTGTATACATTTGTTTGTTATAAAGAGAATAATACATATATGCCAAAGGATTCACCCTGGTGTCCAGCCTTGCTTTGGAAACTTAGATCCTGGATCATAACATGGAAACAGTTCAGATCTTTATCATGTTTATGCTACAAGTTACATTTGTATCTGGAGAAGAACACGTTCATGCTGTCAGATTTGCCATCCACCCCTTTTAAATGCTGACAGTCAAATTACGAAATATTTGCAGTATTATATACAGGTACAATGCAAATATGCGTTTTGTCATGATTGCATAAATATCCAGGGTCCACTTGCACAAAGTGATCTTTCCTACCTTATACAAACAGACAGTACTGGAATGAAGAGACAGTTTAAACAGACCACAGCCCGTGCTTAGGCATCCATGAGTTATCCCCCTTGGCCGCCACTCATATTCTTCTCTGTCTATCCAACAGACAGACGTATGTTTGGGACAGAGTTCAGTCTTACCTTATCATTGTCTTCAATTTCGTCTTCAGGTCGTGTTTCCTCCATATATCCTTTCCATGCTTGATATATCCGCTCGTTTGCGGTTTAAACCTTGTAATTCTATTTTTATTCGTGGCTGTGTAACTTTGCGCGTGCCGCACTATGGGCACCATTTTATCATACGTGCGTCTCGTGGTTACAAAGTTGCTTGTAAATGTACCTTTTGCTGTAGTTTTCTTAAACTATTGGTGATTCTCTCATTTTGTTGTTGTTGATTATGGCTTTCTATTGACATAATTCCCATAAACTAGGCGTATTATGTTTTTGAATTGCTTCCAGTCACACTTCACACTGTGTTATGCTTGTTTGCGAGCTTAGTTCACATATTGTCCAATAACATGTTTTGCTTAATATGTGATTCTACTCGTTACCTTATGTGTTGTTTACATTTTTTGCAGAATGTTTTCTATGCGTTGTGCTTTATGTAAAAGGCCCAAGTAGGGGAAAGACCCACATCAACCTGCATGCTCATTTGATCATCGCTGCTCTGTTTGCACTCTCATGTAAATTACAGACTTTAATTATTACAGAAAGGCTATTCTTCGTTGCCAGAAACAACTTGCTTATGGGAGTAAGATGCCTGATACTTCGCCGCCACACTCTTCTCCCTCTCCGTCGAATCCGTCCCCTCCACCTTCGGATCCGACTACACTGACGATGGTTCCTTCGTGTGCTCCTCCCCAATCTACACCATCTGCGCCACTTGATTTTATGAATCCTACAGTGATTGATGCCTTTTGGGAGTAACTGCTTCAGCATCGCCCAGACGACCTACTTTTACCTCCTGTCAGCTTGGATCTTGCCAGCTCCCGCCAGTCGCCGGGTCGGCGTTTCCGCACCTCTTCAGACACTTCGTCCTGCCATTCTTCTGGTTCCTGTCACCAATGTCATACTCCTGACGACTCCACTGCTGCCTCCACTAAAGTCAAGTGCTGTTGACAGCTATCGCCGGGACAGTGTCGCCAGTTATCCCCTGATCGTCTTCAGGCGTCTCCAGACCGCCACCAGCCGGTGCCAGACCGTCGCCTCATTTCACCAAATCTCTGTCAGCTTTTGCCGGACCGTCGCCAGTGATTGCCAGCTTTTGCCAGACCGTCGCCAATGCTCGCTGGATCGCCAGCTTTCATCGGACTTTCGCCAGCCACGTAGGTCGCCGTACAGTCGCCAGGACGCCTTTTTTGTTGGCTCAAGCAGTCCTTTTCTTTTTGCTCAAGCAGTCCTCCTGGGATCCGTCGTTCAAGATGCAACTGATGCGCCAACCTCGGCTAGATCCCGACTGTTCCTAAGGAGGCCCAGAGTTGGGATACTCATCAACAACAGTTTCGCCTCCTTAGCAACATGGAACTTCTCTTTTCTTCACAATTCTCTCAGCAGTGAAAGTCATATGTTGGGAAGAGACCAAGTTTGAAGCGGAAGTCTTCTTCTTTTGGGCCCAAACGCCAGTCCCCCAGAGCAGATCGGACTCCCAAGCCCTCCTGCCTAGGTCGCTTTTCAGGCTTACTGGAGGAATTGGCAGCTGCTCCAGGATCTGTTCGTTACCCGAATCCTCTGCCAAGGTTACCGCCTGCAGTTCTGCGCCGATCCTCCTCCAACTACCACTCCCTTGGAACATCGATATCGGCCTCGTGATGTGCCGGAGCTTCAGGCCAATATCGATCTCCTGATTGCCAAGAATGCAGTAGATCGCCTGGACGCCGACTCCATCTCTCCAGGGTTTTAGTCGCCAGTCTTCCTGGTGCCCAAGAAGGGTTCATCCAAACTACGAATAATCCACAATCTGGCGCTATTCAACCTCCATTATCTTGCACCTCTTCCACATTTTCAGGTGAATCTCCATCCGGTCTCTGCGCCTCCTCCTTCAACCGATGGACTCTCTCATCAGTCTTGATCTCCAGGATCCTACCTGCACGTTCCCATTCAGGCAGCACATCGTCATTTCCTCCACTTCATCTTTCAGGGTCAGCACTTTCAGTTGAAAGTGCTCCCATTTGGCATTTCCACGGCTCCGTGGTTATTCACACGTATAACCCATCCCATCATTGCGTTCCTTCACCGCAGGTGGATTCGGTTTGGAGCCGACCTCGACAACTGTATCCTTGGTCACAGCGTCAACAGTCAGGGTAGCCTCTTTGGGATGTGGATTTTCAATTTCTACTGCAGGACCCGGTTTTTCGCGTGTAAGCGCTTGGTCAATCAGACCCTGATTCTTCAGCACGATTTCACCCTTCGCCTTCTCCATCGGTTGGGTTGGTTGATCAACATGGAGAAATCAGATCTGACTCCTCGCCATCTCACCTTCAAAGGTGGTCTCTTTCTGACAGACCTCTCCTTCTGGATTGGTTCGCGGCGATCCAATCCGGGGTCAGGAGAGCCCTCTCTCAATCTCACGATCTCTGTCAGTGGCAGAGCCTTCTCGGGCTGTTGACCTCAGCTCAGGATCTAACATCCAGGTGTGTCTTCAACTCCGTCTTCAACACAGTTTTTCCTGACATTTCTGCGCTCAGACCTGTCGGGTCCCCTTCTTCCTCTGCCAAGGGAATTACGTCCGTTCCAAGAGTGATGGCTAGTACCATCGAACGTCTTGAGTGGTTCCTCTATGACAAGCTTCGAGGCCACTCACCATCTCTTCATGGATGCGTCTCTACAAGGATGGGGCCCCCACTTTCTCGAAGGAAACCGCTTCCGGTCATAGGACTCCTTCAGAACGTGCATGGCACATCAACAATCTGTACTTGGAGGCGGTCATTCGTGCGATTCGTCATTGGCGTCGGATCCTCTGCAACAGCTGTCTCATGGTCGCATCGGACAACTCCACGGTGGTGTATTACTTCAACAGGCAAGGGTCGACTCGGTCTGCCTCTCTCCTGGAGCTGACCTTTAGCCTGTTTCATCTGGTCTCCGTCTTCTGATACGAGCCCGTCACATTCCAGGTTGTCGCAACATCTTAGCCAACTCCCTGTCAAGACCCGATCATCCGTGGATGCTCCACCCGGAAGCCTTCTGGTTCTTGTGTGAATGCCTGGGGACTCCCAACGTAGATCTCTTTGCAACGGTGTGCATCCACCAATTGCAGGTGTACGTGTTTCCTGTCCCGGACCAAGCTGCTTGGGAGTTAGACGGCCTCGCTCTCTCCTGGGTCAGCCTAAGCGCATACGCTTTTCCGCCCCCATTTCTTCTCCCCCAGGTTATTCATAAGTCTCCCCCAGGTCATTCATAAGGTGGCCCAGACCTGTCCTCTGGATCTGCTTTTGGTCGCGCCTTATTGGCTGTCCCGGATTTGGTTTCCCAGGCTCCTTCAGCTCGCAGGAGAACCTGTATTATGTCTCCCGGTGTGGCCAAATCTTCTGTTCAATCCTCACTCCAGGCACACGCATCCAAACCAAGACGGTTACAGTCCCTCCACTCGTTCTCCACAAGTGGCGGTCATTCCAGGCCTTCTGCTTGTCCAAGCACATTGTTCCAGTGTAGGCCACTGTTCCACAAGTGGCTGACTTTGCCAATCCCGTCACCTGGCTGGTTCCATGATTGCGATCTTGCTGTGCTCAATTCTGTCCTCAAGACTGCTAGAGGTTCCAGGTTATCATCGGCTCCGGCCCTTTTTGCCATGGTCCGAGGCTTTCGACTTGCTCCTGGCCCTTGCAACAGCTGCCAGGTTTAGTGAGCTTCATGCCCTGGATGTGACCCGTGTCCGGTTCGACCAGCGTCCTCATGGTTTGGTTCACCTTGGCCTTTGTTGGGACCCGATCGGCAGTTTCACGTCCTGTCTCTTTTTTGTCCCGTCCTGATGAGGACCTGGAGCTCGCCCTTTGCTCGGTTCGGGCCCTTTGACGTTATCTTCAGGTATCTCAGCAGCATCACAAGCAGCGCCAGAGGCTGTTCATCCCTCTTTCCAGCCGTGGCCCGGCAGAGATCTCTCGTAATACAGTCTCCCTTTGGCTTCGTTCTGCTATCCTGAGGGCTTATCGTTGTACTGACCACCACCTACAGCCTCCAATCCGTATGAGATCTATCCCCTGTCCTCTTCACTGGCCGTCCGATCCATCATGGAGGGGTGCTTCTGGTCATCTAGTACCGTCTTCGCCAAACATTATCTTCGCAACATTTCGGTGGAGGACGTCGAGGGTACGCATAGCTTTCATAAGCTCTTGATGAAGTTGGTGATTGCCTGTTAGATCACTGTTTTTTAACATAAGCATGGCTCAGCTTTCTTCTGTTTTGCTTGACTGTAGTGACTGTAATACTTTTATTGTAAACCTACAACGACGTTTCCGATGGTAGAAAATGTTTGTATCTCAGATGTACTCTTTGCAAACTCCAGAAGTGGTTTGTCATTTCGTATTTGTGGTGCTTTCAGCAGAGCTTCCCACGATTCAAAGCTCTTAGGTTGAACCAAGTTACTTTCCATATCTTCACCTTCAGAGTGAATGATGCTGGATGTACCACTCCTGGGCTCTATGCATGGTGATTGATCGGTGACAATGTCTTCCACATTGCAGACTCTACAGCTATCAGCTCTGGTCCATTCTTCATTTTTGTCCATACTTTATTACTGCATTGGGAGGAGGAGTAGCAATACTAATGGCGAGTTGATTTTTAATTCATGTTTGAAGAGTGAATTTTCTTATCTGTAAGATAATGAAACAAAACATTAAAAATGTGTTTAATATACTGTAAAATATTTAGTATGAAGGAGTCATAATTTTAAATAAATTTAACATGTAAGATACAAGTATGTGAATTGAAACAACCTTCATTAATTGCAGTTTCACATATTTGTAGATGTTTTTATTAATTAATTTCTAAATTCAAAAGTAGTCACCTTTTACTTTTATGAATGAGCATAAGAAATTTGAATTTTCTCATTTGGGGAATCATATCATCATATCGTATAAGAAAATAATCAATTACATTCAAATAACATGATTTTTAACATTTTAGAATGTAATTATGCTGTACAAAAAAAATGTTTTCCAAGAACAGTTCAAATAAAGTCTAAAATAATATAGCAGTGATAATTAGTTGTAAGTAAGTTCTATGTACCATTACATCATCATTACATCATCACCACCAAATTCGGAGATGCTATGGATGTTAACTTTTTTTTATTGAGGTGTTTCATAAATCAAGTTACAATTACAATTTTATGACATTTTGACTGACAATCATTGATAAAATGAGGGTTTGGCACCACATGGTGCCATATACTTATATACTGTGTCTGCAAAGCTATTTTTTATTGGTAAGATGTATAGTAGTATATGCAACAGCCCAAACAGCAACTTACCCCTGAGAAGTTGAAATATTATTCCTTATGTTAACTAACTACTGTTGCTGTGGTCCAATTACCAAGACAGGAAGTAAACAAAGAAATGAGTTATGTACTACTCACTGGACAACATATTGTACTAGCCATTCTCCTGTGCCAACTTTGGAGACCTTCAAAAGAACATAAAAAACCCATGCAAAGCTTTGTTGTACTTAACCATCAATTCTAAACCTGTCACAATTTGCCCCCTGTTTGGTACCGAAATATTGCCAGGTTGATAGACTACAATAATCATGTAATAGATTGGTGAAAAGATATGAAAGTATATTTACCATCACCAGCTGATTTCATTCTCTTTGCATCATGATAAGTATTTAATCATGATTCATTTATCATAAATTGTGTGGTCCCAGCCCAAGTTGTTATTGGTGGTGTCTTGTGGAAACGTGACAACTCTTTTATGTTTTCAGTGAACACCATAACGTCCACAAGTTAAAAATGGAAGTACAAAGCCAACCACAGAATCCTGGCTCTGTTACTGAAACATGTGTAGTCAGGAACTGTGAGAGAGAGTTGCTGGAAACAGGTGATGTCAAGAGAGAACTTGTCACCAACACACTGGAAACAGGTGATGTCAAGAAACACTGTGGAATAAAACCTTACCAGTGTGTTGTGTGTGGGAACAAATTTACAAAGTCAGGTAACCTGCAGACACACATGAGGATTCACAGTGGAATCAAGCCTTATGAGTGTGTTGTATGTGGGAAAGAATTGACAAAGTCAGATACCCTGCAGACACACATGAGGATTCACAGTGGAATCAAACCATATGAGTGTGTTGAATGTGGGAAAAAATTTACAGTCTCAGGTACACTGCAGAGACACATGAGGATTCACAGTGGAATCAAGCCTTTTAAGTGTGTTGAATGTGGGAAAGCATTTACAGAATCAGGTAGCTTGCAGATGCACATGAGGATTCACAGTGGAATCAAGCCTTATCAGTGTGTTGAATGTGGGAAAGCATTTACACAGTCAAGTAACCTGCAGAAACACATGAGGATTCACACTGGAATCAAGCCTTTTAAGTGTGTTGAATGTTCGAAAGCATTTACACAATCAGGTAGCTTGCAGATGCACATGAGGATTCACAGTGGAATCAAGCCTTTTAAGTGTGTTGAATGTGGGAAAAGGTTTACAGGGTCAAGAAACCTGCAGAAACACATGAGTATTCACAGTGGAATCAAGCCTCATGAATATGTTGAATTTGGGGAAAAATTTACAGTGTCAAGAAACCTGCAGAAACACATGAGGTTTCACAGTGGAGTCAAGCCTTATGAGTGTGTTGTATGTGGGAAAGCATTTACACAATCATGTCACCTTAGGACACACATGAGGATTCACAGTGGAATCAAGCCTTATCAGTGTGTTGAATGTGGGAAAACATTTACTCAATCAGGTACCCTGCAGAAACACATGAGGATTCACAGTGGAGTCAAGCCTTATGAGTGTGTTGAATGTGGGAAAGCATTTACACAGTCAAGTAATCTGATGTCACACATGAGGATTCACAGTCGAATTATTTGATTGAATTTAGTGGACTGAGATATCCCTAGTATGATGAGTGTGTGCGTTGTAACTGATAATAATAAATCAATGAACATATGAGTGGTTAATCCTTAATTCCTGCATTTGACAGCTTGAGATGGGTGTATTCCATCTGCTGTATATGACTATATATATTGAGATTCCCTGCATATACAGATAACTACGGTTATAACGAACTCAAATGGACCACTAATTATAGTTTGTTATAACCGTATTTCGTTATAAGCATATATACAACATCTATACAGCAAATGGCCGGGACCAAAAATAAAGTTCGTAATATCCGTCAGTTCGTTATAAGCGTGTTCGTTATAAACGTTTTTTACTGTATACAAATACTAATTATTATTATTGGAAGAAATGATCTTCTACTTGATACAGAGTATGCTAATCCATCATCAACACATTTTTCAACAGTTTGTCACTCTGTTATTCTTCAACATCTTTGATCGACTACACAAGGTCTTCAGCAACCCATGCTTGCCGTAAAAGGCGACTATGCTTGTCGTAAGAGGCGACTAACAGGATCGGGGGGTCAGGATTGCTGACTTGGTTGATGCATGTCATTGATCCCAATTCTACCATGAATTTGGAATTTACTTGATTCTGATTGGTCAATCAGAGGCTATTAAATCACAATAAACCCCCTCTGATTGAAACAGCTGGTTTGACGGCCGCATCACTGCGGAAGTTAATATTCATAGAATAGTGCTATTTTCAGTCATTGTCGGTTTGCATATTCAAATAATAATATCTACAATAACAGGTTACAAAATGCACAGATGCGGTAACTGCAATATTCAAAGGATGCGTGGCAATACATTTCATGCAAAACACATGATAGAAATCTGCAAAGGGAATGTATTTACGTTTTGGAGACAACAGAGAGGTTGGAATTTTAGTTCTTTTCAATATATGACTGAGACGTCATATCTTTTGCGTCACAATGAGCGATATGACATCATATTGGTGATGTGCGATGTAGAGTGAAAGCCTTTCTTCAGGGATGCCCACCTCATGTGAGCTTACCAAGTTGCGGTGCTTATATGCTTTAAATGCCTGTCATATGTTCGAGTGAAGTATTACGGTGTAAACTAACTGCTTGAGTATATATAGCACCATATTTTGTTCGGCGATTCCATAATTCAGATCGACAACCCACTCAAAACACTGGACTCAACCCATGCCGCTTCACTCAGTATATTTGCTAACACCAAAGAGTTTGCGTTTTATTTAGTCATGGTAGAATGGAGATAAACATACTGAGTTTTCAATGTAGAGCTAGGTTACCTGTAGATTTAACTGCGCTAAATTTAACATTTGAAACCTCACGCTGAGCGTTCGGTTCCATATTCAATTTAGCGGGGTTAAATCTACATTGAAAACACAGTATATTTCTCTCCTGATTGTGTGAATGGATGCTCATGACTTGGGCTCGCCAGAAACCTATGATTGTGGGTTCGAATCCCGGTTCGCCCCGATTATGTTTCTAGGTTTGTCAGCACCATACCCGTGCTCGTGGGTTTCACAGAAGTGGTATACGTCTGAGACCTGCATCACTTCGGGCTTTCCTCCTACATTAAGCTGACACGCCGTGATATATCTGGAATACTGTTAAAAGCGGTGTTAAACCCAACTCCCCAACCATTAATTAAAGCTCTCAATGCTGCAGGCGAACCCATTTGACAGGTGCATAGTCAAAGGACATCCCCAAAGGAACCTTGCAATAACTGTTTAATGAGTAGGCTTTGCGTATGATTTAAGTTTCGTGTAATATGCATAAATGCTCAACTTGCAAAATATTTCAAAAACCAGAAGTTTATTTACCTAAAAAAAACACATCTTTAGTTAAGAAAGAATCAACCAAATTTCTCAGCACAAAACTACCCGAAACGGCCATTGTTGATTTTTGGCACTTCACGTTGAGTGGCATGGCATCCGATATTTCATTCCTAATTTTGTAATTTTTCTATTTGATCATTTTCTTATTACCTGATGAAAAGAATACTCACAAGGTCCTTACTCCTTACTTTCGAAAAATTAGCGATTTTTCATATAATTAATTCTAAACTAAAACAATCTGAATCATAAATTCATCGATTGTATGAAAGGTGTACGATCATGGCAATGGTGGTAAACAAACAACTCCACATGTGTTGTGATCCTGTAATACTATCACAATCCTTTTTATATATCATGATATATCTTAATTAAATCTTAATTAAGTTTCTAGAATGTTTTACATGGATGTACAAATCTTTGTCAAAGACATCTCATTTTTGTGGTATTTGCCAATGATTTTGTTTGATAAACTTTCGGACACTGACATGCTGTTGACAAGCATAAGTGACACATTTGGGCGTGGCCTGACATGCGATTTGTTTAGTTAAACAAAGTCAACAAACACTGCAAATAATGAAAAAATTGGATGATACACAAATCTGAACTGATATACATTCTAGCTAAACCATTTATAGCAAAATAATACAGATTATGAAAAACAATCAAAATACTTGGTTGTTAATATGATTTACTATTTATCGTCACATTTTTACTATTTATTGACCTGGGTAGCAGTCTTCACTCCTATGTTTCACATGTTTTCCTGATTGCCGCTGGTGATTGACTTCAAATTTGTAAGTCTAAATCCAAAATCAAAATGGATTCCATGCTTGACGATTTTTGAATTATTTTCTGTCAACGGAGGCTGCGGGGAGCGATAATAACCTATTTATATGACATAATGATAACAGCATGATATTGTTATTGGTCTTTCATTGCAAGAAGGACAATTAAGAATATTAAAGATGTTTTTAAAACATTTCGTCAGAAATTCCCTGTCTTCAGAACGGATGAAACTAGGGCGACTGGATGGATGTAGCGCCTGTGTGATTTTATACCAAAACAAATTAGTACCCAAGAAAATATGCAAAATCTATATGATTGCATTTTCTTTCACATGTTTATTGCAAACAATGAGCAGAACATTCATAATATGACTAACCATTGGATCACTGTACATGGTCCTTGAGTGATGACAGTCCCCACTGGCAAAACTCAAATTGATTGTTTGGTTTTGATAGGAAAGTCACATCTTGTCACTGAAGAAGAGGCCAGTTAAATTGATTAAACCTAAGTTAATTGTATTGTTTTGATAGGAAAGTGACAATAAATTTATTGCAAACAATGAGCAGAACATTCATAATATGACTAACCATTTCATCAATAACCAGACCTGTTCATCACGGGTGGAACGAGCATTCATTGAAACAGCCATCTGCATCGCATGCAACTTACCACTTTCAAATTATAACATTCTCATCAGCTCCAAATTCGGAGATGCTATGGATACCATTAACTTTTTTTATTGATTTGTTTCATAAAAAAAGTTAAGAGTCAACACTACTACAGTGTACCCTACAACTTTTATGAAATTACAATTACAATTTTATGACATTACTGTGTCTGCCAAACTTAATTTTTCTCCCTTTTTTATTGGTAAGGTGTATAGTAGTTTATGCAACAGCCCAAACAGCAACTTACCCCTGAGAAGTTGAAATATGATTCCTTTTGTTAACTAACTACTGTTGCTGTGGTCCAATTACCAAGACAGGAAGCAAACAAAGAAATGAATTATGTACTACTGACTGGACAACATATTGTACTGGCCGTTCTGTGCCAACTTTGGAGACCTTCAATAGAACTTAAAAAAAACCATGCAAAGCTACTGGATTTTATATGCTATCATATTTGTTGTACATAACCATCAATTTTAAACCTGTCACAATTTGCCCCCTGTTGTGTACCGAAATATTGCCTGGCTGATAGACTACAACTGTCATGCAATAGATTGGTGTAAAGATATGAAACTATATGTACCATCACCAGCTGATTTCATTCTCTTTGCATCATGATAAGTATTTAATCATGATTCATTTATCATCAATTGTTTGGTCCCAGCCCAAGTTGTTATTGGTAATGTTCTTGTGAAAACATCTTCAGGATATGCATAACACAATAAAGGAAAGTGACAACTCTTTTATGTTTTCAGTGAACACCATAACACCCACAAGTTAATAATGGAAGTACAAAGCCAACCACAGAATCCTGGCTCTGTTACCGAAACATGTGAAGTCAGGGACTGTGAGAGAGAATTGCTGGAAACAGGTGATGTCAAGAGAGAACTTGTCACCAACACACTGGAAACAGTTGATGTCAAGGAAAAGTCTGACACTGACACGCTGGAAACTTGTCATGTCAAGAAACACTGTGGAATCAAACCTTATCAGTGTGTTGTGTGTGGGAACGAATTTACAAAGTCAGGTAACCTGCAGACACACATGAGGATTCACAGTGGAATCAAGCCTTATCAGTGTGTTGTATGTGGGAAAGAATTTACAGAGTCAGATAACCTGCAAATACATATGAGGGTACACACTGGAATCAAACCTTATGAGTGTGTTGAATGTGGGAAAGCATTTACACAATCAGGTCACCTGCAGACACACATGAGGAGTCACAGTGGAATCAGGCCTTATGAGTGTGTTGAATGTGGGAAAAAATTTACAGTCTCAGGTACACTGCAGAGACACATGAGGAGACACAGTGGAGTTAAGCCTTTCAAGTGTGTTGAATGTGGGAAAGCATTTTCTCAATCAGGTACCCTGCAGAAACACATGAGGATTCACAGTAAAATCTGTCCTTACAAGTGTGTTCAATGTGGGAAAGCATTTACACAATCAGGTAGCTTGCAGATACACATGAGGATTCACAGTGGAATCAAGCCTTTTAAGTGTGTTGAATGTGGAAAAGCATTTACACAATCAGGTACCCTGCAGAAACACATGAGTATTCACAGTGAAAACAAGCCTTTTACGTGTGTTGAATGTGGGGAAAAGTTTACAGTGTCAAGAAACCTACAGAAACACATGAGGTTTCACAGTGGAATCAAGCCTCATGAGTGTGTTGAATGTGGGGAAAAATTTACAGGGTCAAGAAACCTGCAGAAACACATGAGTGTTCACAGTGGCATAAAGCCTTTTCAGTGTGTTGTATGTGGGAAAGGATTAACAGAGTCGGGTAACCTGAAGATACACATGAGGATTCACACTGGAATCAAACCTTACAAGTGTGTTGAATGTGGGAAAGAATTTACAGAGTCCGGTAATCTGTTGAAACACATGAGGAGGATTCACAGTGGAGTCAAGCCTTACCAGTGTGTTGAATGTGGGAAAGCATTTACACAAGCAGGTCACCTTAGGACACACATGAGGAGTCACAGTGGAATCAAGCCTTATGAGTGTGTTGAATGTGGAAAAACATTTACTCAATCAAGTTCCCTCCAGAAACACATGAGGATTCACAGTGGAGTTAAGCCTTATAAGTGTGTTGAATGTGGGAAAGCATTTACACAGTCAAGTAACCTGAAGTCACACATGAGGACTCACAGTGGAATTAATTGATTGAATTTAGTGGACTGAAATATCATTAGTGTATTGAGTGTATGCATTGCAACTGATAATAATAAATCAATGAACATAAGTGGTTAATCCTTTAATCCCTGCATTTGACAGCTAGAGATGGGTGTATTCCATCTTCTCTGTATGACTATATATATTGAGACTCCCTGCATATGTACAAATACTAATTATTATTATTGAAAGAAGTGATCTTCAACGTGATGGGTGGGGTCACGGGTGGCCCAGTCGTCTAAGGTGCTGCGATTCGCTGTGCAGAGTGCGTCCCTTGGGCACGCCAGAAACCTATGATTGTGGGTTCGAATCCCGGTTCGCCCCGATTATGTTTCTAGGTTTGTCAGCACCATACCCGTGCTCGTGGGTTTCACCGAAGTGATAAACGTCTGAGACCTGCATCACTTCGGGCTTTCCTCCCACATTAAGCTGACACGCCGCGATATAACTGGAATACTTTTAAAAGCGGCGTTAAACCCAACTCACTCACTCACTCACTAAACGTGATAGGTAATAGAGAGTGTGTGCTAATCCATCATCAACACATTTTTCAGCAGCTTGTCACTCTGTTATTATTCAACCCATTTGATCATCTACACAAGGAAAAATGTTATGACAGTACATCAATCTATGTTAAACATATTATTCATTTTGATATATGTACACACATGAGCATTAATTAAAGCTCTCACTGCTGCATGCGAACCCATTTGTCAGGTGCATAGTCAAAGGACACCCCCAAAGGAAACTTGCAATAACTTTTTAACAGTAGGCTTTGTGTTTTCTTTTAAGTTTCGTGTAAAATGCATAAATGCTCAACTTGCAAAATATAAAAAAAAATCAGTAGCTTATTTATTTTCTGAAAAATATGGACACCTAAAAAATGAGGGCTTTTAAAAAGTTGTATTTCTATGTAACTTGTCAGATGGTTTGACGTTGGTCTATCAAAGAAAAATCCATTCGAAAAGGATTATTATTTTTTTATGACACTTAAAATGTCACGCACTTAACCAAAGAGTCTTCAAGGAATGCTGAATTTGTTTTCTTTTTTTGAAAATACAACTTTTGGGGCAGTTCGTATTTCATGATGGCAAGGGCACTTTTGTAGACACAAACTGAGGAACGTGTGACATACAAGCTGAGGAAAGAGTGATACTGTGATTGCATACAAGGGAAAAACAGGTTTACAGCCATACAGGTATGTGCGAAATATACCACATAAGGAGACATAAATTCATGGGGTGTGGCTGCCAGGACAAAAAATATCTGGCAAAGGTAATCATGTATACAGAAGACTGAGGCATGGAACATGATAAGGACCTATACTGACTGGATATTCAGAAATCCATAAAATGATCAAGGATGTCAGATCCAAGACTGGTGCATTTATTTTGAATATGTGTGCATCAAACTGACTGATAGACGAAAACCTGTTGACCACAGTTCACAATGGTTCATGTTCCTTAAGGGACATGCATGAGCGTCACTGTCACACACCTGAGCAAACTGCAACAAACCTTGAAAGTCCTGCGAGACTAATCGCACATTATTTCATTGATGAGAACCCAGAAAAAGTACATAAGGTGGGATATTTTTCATGTACTTTTCTCCAACAGCACTGCAAGAACTGTCAATGTACATATACCATGGGTGTTCAATTTTTTTTTGCAACTTCAATATAAGACCAAGTCGCAGAATATCTTTTGCACTTTTGTTTGTCAATATAATCTCCATTCACCTCAATACACTTATTCCATTTGTCCTTCAAGCTTTTAATACCACTTTTATAGAAATCCACAGATTGGCCCTCTAACCACGCCTCTGTGGCAGCTTTTATGTCCTCATCCTGGAGGCGTCTTCCACGTGCCGGGAGATTTCATTTGCCGGAACAGGAAATAGTCACTGGGAGCTAAGTCTGGGCTGTAGGATGGACGATTTTACTGTAGAGCCCAGATTAATGCAGATTAATGCTCGTGTGTGTGCGTGCGTGCGTGCGTGCGTGCGTGCGTGCAATTTATTTGAGCCACAACCTCGAAGTTACTGTTAGGAGAAACATTTACTAAAATCAGACCAAACTTTCTGTTATTCGGTTTTCGTCAATTAATTTTCATACCGACATTTCCTTATTTCATTGTCGAGTCAACAGATTCAGCCTTCACATTTGCCAACCTTTTGTGATAAATGGTTGTATTCAAGCTTGCATGCGTACACTCTGAAGTGAAGGTTCTGAGGAACTTGTGGTTGGTTTCATCAATACCCATACGTTTGTAGACATTACATTAGAGGAATGTGCAATACATTCAAACCTGTGACTTGACATTTATGCCTATAATAAAGTAACCTTAGATCATGTAGATGGCACGTACACAGGTGTATGGTTATACCATGAAGCATTTGTGAGAAGCTCCTAGCGATTGTCACTGAACATTTGTGATGTGCAATTTAGTTGCCTGAAAAATAAGGGCCATTTCAACATGTTCAAATTTTGATTATACATGTATGAACTGAACCTTATTCTGTGGCGTTGATGAATTTCATGTAACTAATTCTGCCTGAATAAAATATTGTTTAGAAAAGACTTGAGAAAGTCTGATGTAACATAAAATCAAACATGACATGAAATGATAAAAACGTGTCTGGGATAGAATACTTACACGTATTTCAATATATAGAACAGACAAGAAATACGGGAACTGATGAACTGATAATGAAGGGGTCATGACAATAAACGTCTGTAATATTAATTTCAGGCGAGTAGATTAATATCTGGTGTGTCCACCATGTTGGGCGATACATACCTTGATGGCATACTGTTGATTGACTTGCGTATGGTTGCCCTTGATATTGCCCGCCAGAGCTACCCCAAGCAGTGCCATGTTGGCGAGTGCTGGGTCTGTCGCATACAGGCTCTGCCCAAGATCATCCCACAGATATTCCTGTCAGTTTGCCTTGTTGCAGATAATCAGTTGTTAAAAGTTCATAATTATAATGGACCCGTGAAATAGAATAGGTCTTCTGCAACCCATGCTTGCCGTAAAAGGTGACTATGTTTCTCGTAAGAGGCGACTAACGGGACTCGCTGACTTGGTTGATGCACATCATCGATCCCAATTGCGTGGATCAATGCTCATGTTGTCAATCACTGGATTGTCTGGTCCAGACTCAATTATTTATAGACCGCCGTCATATAGCGTTAATATTGCTGAGTTCGGCGTTAAACAACAAACAAACAAACATAAATATAATGATATATCCTGAGAGTGATACTCCATTCAAGATGGCGGTGCCAAGCGAGTGATCGCATTCGATGTCGCCAGGGTAACATATAACTGGTAATTGATGTTTAATGTGATTGTGTATATGACGTAAGGGAGGTAGGGGCTGGGGAAATGACGGGTAGACTTCAGTCTGGTTGAGAGTGCTGCTGGGTGCGCACATACATCTCTTGTTATCAAATATATAACCGAATAAACAACCTCGACTCAAGATATCATCGTTGTGTCATCTGGGCCATATTCTGATCTAACACAGTGATGACCTGGCACGATGTTGCCTGTCATTTTCATCTTGCTGGACAAACCTGCTGATAATTCTAGCGAATGGAACAATGACAGGATGCCACATTTTGCCAACATATCACTGGCCCGTCAAATGTCCATTAACAATAACGAAATCATTTGGCCTGTCGTATGACACTGCCCTACACCATCGAACAACCGCCCCAATGTCTATCATGGTCGAGGATTGTTGCCCTGGGATACAACTCGCTGCTATGTTTTTTGCCATCTGTGACATAGAAATAAAACCTTTTATTCATCTGTGAAGATGATGTGACACCATTGGCGCACAGTCCGTATCTGGTGTTGCCTGACCCACCCCAATCTTTGCCGCCAAACTAAGCTGTTCGGGTAATGTTTGGAAGATTGGCATATTGATACAAATAAAAGTTCCAAAACACATTTCCCTAATGATAAGAGTGAGTGAGTGAGTGAGTTTAACGCCGCTTTTAACAGTATTCCAGTTATATCACGGCGTGTCAGCTTAATGTGGGAGGAAAGCCCGAAGTAATGCAGGTCTCAGACGTTTACCACTTCGGTGAAACCCACGAGCACGGGTATGGTGCTGACAAACCTAGAAACATAATCGGGGCGAACCGGGATTCGAACCCACAATCATAGGTTTCTGGCGTGCCCAAGGGACGATATTATGTGCATGTGTTTAAGAATCACTTTCTGGTATTATGGAAAAGGTGAGTGTATCCTACCCATTTGGTTGCACCCGTCATTAAGGTGCAAAGCCAAGTATTTTTTTTCCATGAAAAAACATGGGAACGTGTAATCAAAGAGGGAGTTTACATCAGACATCACTTTTGACATTGATGTGTCAAATGTGGAAATGTAAACCACATGGCCACCATAAAACTTTTTGAAAGCTTTACTGAAGCCTTGAATGTTAAATCCCTGATCAAACAGGTTTTGGACAGGGTTCATTTGACGTTCTTTGAAATTTTGCCTGAAAGTCTTATCCCCCAAATGTCGTATAAATGTTATCAATGAGGAAGTCAATATTTTATTCTTTATATCCGGATCACAGTTTTATTAACTGGTTATGTAAATAAATGAGCAGAAGTGTGGGTTGAGGGTTAACATTTCAGTCAGCGATACATACAGTACTTAGTTATTGGTACGTAACCCACAGCATACAACCGTCGTATCATAGGTGGGTGGAGATATATGTGACGATATGTTCCATCACCAGAATAGTTTCATTCTCTTTGCATCATGACAAGTATTTCGTCATGATTCCTTTATCATCCGATTGTGTGTGGACCCAACTCTAGTTGTTACTGGGGTTGTTTTTATGGAAACATCTTTTGGCAATGCATTAACACAATTAATAAAAGTGACAACTCCTTTATGTTTTCAGTGAACACCATAACATCCACAAGTTAATAATGGAAGAACAAAGCCTACAACAAAATAATGTCTCTGTTACTGAAACATGTGTAATCACAGACTGTGAGAAAGAATTGCTGGGAACAGGTGATATCAAGACTGAACCTGTCATCGCCATACTGGAAACAAGTGCTGTTCCTGAGACGCTGGATACAGGTGATCTCAAGAAACACGGTGGAATCAAGCCTTATCAGTGTGGCGAATGTGGCAAAGGATTTTCAGAGTCATATAAATTGCAGACACACATGATGATTCACAGTGGAATCAAGCCTTATCAGTGTGCTGAATGTGTCAAAGCGTTTACAGCGTCATATAAATTGCAGAATCACATGAGGAGTCACAGTGGAATCAAGCCTTATCAGTGTACTGAATGTGGGAAAGCATTTACAGAGTCATATAGATTGCAGAAACACAGAAGGATTCATGCTGGGATCAAGCCTTATCAGTGTGGCGAATGTGGGAATGAATTTACACAATCATGTGACCTGCAGACACACAGGAGGACTCACAGTAGGATCAAACCATATCAGTGTGTTGACTGTGGGAAAGGATTTACAAGTTCAGCTTGTCAGCAGAGACACATGAGGATTCACAGTGGAATCAAGCCTTACTGCTGTGGCGAATGTGGTAAAGGATTTAAATACCCAAGTATACTGCAGAAACACACAAGGATTCACATTGTAATCCAACCTTATGAGTGTGCTGAATGTGGGAAGGTATTTACACACTCGGGGAGGCTGAAGTCACACATGAGGATGCACAGTAACATCAAGCCTTATCAGTGTGGTGAATGTGAGGAAACATTTACAAAGTCAGGTTGCCTGCATAAACACATGATGATTCACAGTGGAATCAAGCCTTATCAGTGTGTTGAATGTGGGAAAGGATTTACACAATCAGGTAGCCTGAAGTCCCACATTAAAATTCACAGTGGAATCAAGCCTTATCAGTGTGTTAAATGTGGAAAAGTATTTAGACATTCAAGTAACCTGCAGACACACATGAAGATTCACAGTGGAATCAAGCCTTATCAGTGTGATGAATGTGGGAAAGCCTTTTATACAGAAAGATAGCCTACAGAGACACATGCGGATTCACAGTGGAATCAAGCCTTATGAATGTGTTGAATGTGGGAAAGCATTTACAGACTCAGGTGGCCTGACGAAACACATGAGGACTCACAGTGAAATCAAGCCTTATCAATGTGTTGAATGTAGCAAAGGTTTTTCATGCTCAGGTCAACTGAAGTCACACATGAGGACTCACAGTGGAATCAAGCCTTATCAGTGTGTTGAATGTGGGAATGTATTTACAGAGTCATGTAGCCTGAAGAGACACATGAATATTCATAGTGGAATCAAGCCTTATCAATGTGTTGAATGTGGGAATGTATTTACAGAGTCTGGTACCCTGAAGAGACATATGAGGATTCACAGTGAAAACAATTAATAGAATTACAATTGAAATCTCATTTGTCAATATTGGCGATGATTGTTGGTCAGAATTGGGCGTCTGGCTGGTCTCCTCGCAACAAACCCGTAACGTCTAAGACAGCGATGTACAGTCTGTGCCGATATTTGACAAAGGTCATGATCAGGGATGCTTCTCGCAGTGATTTTTGAACCGATTTCACAGATGGATGGTTAGATTCCAACGATCTTGACAGACGCTTGTAACACGGGCCTGCTGCTCCTTGGTCGGTGTTTGTTTGCTGCCACCACTGCCATAACGTGTTTCTGTGCACGTTCAATCTCCAAACTTCAAATAATGATTGAAATTTGACGGGTTTCTTTTGTCAAGACAGAAACAATGCATACATATGCTTTTATACCCTGTTTACATCATCAATTGCATGATTGCTGCATGAAAGACACTTTTTGCCATCAGATCATGCTTTTCTGCTGAGGTTTCGTTTTTGCTACATGTTTGTATATTTTCGTATTCGATTTGAACACCAGAAAGGTTTTACTTGTATGCAACCGATTGGAAAGGGGTGTCATCGGACTGAGTATAGTTGCTTAGTATAGAAGAAATCACGTTTGTAGTTGCCATCTACTCCTTCCCACAGGCATCTGTCTGCAGAGTACACTGGTCTGTTCTTCAGGGCCCTGTTTCACAAATCGATCGTAGCGCTAAGATGATTGTCACTCCCATACTTTAACGTAGACTTAAGACAGTCGTGGCGCTACGATCCCTTTGTGGAACAGGGCCCTGGAAAACTTTTCATCCACTGAAACATCTAAAAGCAGATCTCCACCACTGTATGTCTCATCCACTATATTTTTATCAGAAACAATTGACAATCGCTTCTGAAGATCAATCACGCGGAGGAGAAAAGTGTGGCCAACTGCTTTTAAGTTCATCAATAAGCTCTGACAGGTCAGTCACGTTTTTCTTCAGGTGAGGCAAACGTACACTGACAGTTGTCGATCATAACAGCCAAGACTATAATATGCTGACATGAACCCTCAAATTTGTTCCAGCTGATATTGCAACGGAACGGCCCAAAACTGGTCGATACGAGTGAATAGATTACTAAAATAAATTGATGCTGCCACCAGTCACAATATGTGACAAAACAAATACCAGAACTTGGAGATTAGGTTCAGCGAGAATATATCACAAGGATGTACAAAGTAACGAATGTCGAAACTAACGAAATGCAGAATGATCACACCATAAGTAGGTAAATTAAGCAACAAAACCCTTTCCATGTTCAATAGAAATCTCTTTTCAATAACAAGTTCAAGAAAGTTCAACAACGAGTTTATTAATTATTCACTGAACTGAAATGTCTTGTACATGGTCTCATGGAAACATCAGTCGCTCGGCATTTTCTGTCGCTTCGTGGCTCTAGAATCCGGAACTTGTCTGTACCCCTCTCATGATTGGTATATCTGAATATCTGAGCTGTTAAAACAATTAAACAGGACAATAAACTTTGAAACTTGAAAGTGTGCAAACTTCGCTGCAACCGGAACTGGATCCATGTTATGTAAACAATACATTCCGGAAGTCATGTGCCCCGGAATGAATGACAAGAAGGCCAAACCTCTGTCAAAGCTTTCAAAATGTTATATAAGTCAGCATGAAGTCAAATCCTAATTAAATATATAGGATCAATTCTAGAACGATCCCTGTTAACACCGGTAGATAAAAGCCGTTGACTGACGGCAACCTCAAGCAACTTGATTATGTAAACATTCCGGTCGGAATAACCTTGGACCCCCAAATCGCGATGACAATTGACGACTATAAAAACATCGAAATATAGACTGTAAACTGTAATATTTTGTATGGACGACAAATCACTTGCGACTCCTGATAACTATAGCCGCAACTTGTATGCTTGAATCATTACGATCTTGGAATATTCCGTCTGAATGAATCGGGAATGGCTGTCGGATCTCTGAACTGTCCAATGTCAACAAGGCGTCATCAAGACGTCAAGATGACGTCATTTGGATGTCAACATATGTAAAAAATTACTTATCCGCGATCATATCACGTATTAATATCAACAATGTTAATAAAAGGTTATACAATAAAAGATCTCATAAAATGCAAAACCTAGAATGTAGCAGTGATTAACCCTGGAACCCTATCTTGCTCAAATTTGCCGCTGCCGAAGTTAACCTTGACCGGTCTATGTAAAAGTGACCTTAGGTCACATGATACGCAAACGTGACGTCAGAATATTCCAGATGGCGACTGTAAACATGGCTGACGTGACTCAAGTTAGAATTTACTGTTATACTTGATTCTGTAACTTTGAAAAACATTGCATCAAGGTGTGTCATCCTAATAACATACAACATGATGCTGTTACCATGGGTGATATTAGTGTGGAGGTTGTGAGTTGTCTCACTGTCATAACATGATGTCAATGTGCCTTCAAAACTGACATCAACCTTCCAAGAGCTCTTGCACAATCGGGGCGGTCGGGTAGCCTAGTGGTTAAAGCGTTCGCTCGTCACGCCGAAGACCCGGGTTCGATTCCCGACATGGGTACAATGCGTGAAGCCCATTTCTGGTGTTCCCCGCCGTGATATTGCTGGAATATTGCTAAAAGCGGCGTAAAACCATACTCACTCACACACTCTTGCACAATCCTCACGGGTGTCCGCTATGATAAGAAAATCATCAATATATGCAGTTACCTGAATTCTATACAGTATTGACATTATTCGGTGTACTGCAGCCCATAGTATCTGAAATATTTGGGGGCTTTTTGAAGCGCCAAAAGGCGACTTGAGACTCCCCTACAAAAAGCCAACACAACCATATATGTCATAGTTGCAAGAGTGTACCCAAACATATCTGTATGCATTTTTTAACTGAATGTCTTTTTAACTGCTTTTCCCTCATCTTCCTATGCTGAAACGCTGATTCTTTGATTCCAACAATATACATATCATCAATAATGTCCACATATTTATATCCAGTCTTAATTCCTGACAAGATATAATCCATGTCCAAATCTTCCTCTCGAAGTATAACTGCCCATGCAGACAAGTTTAACGAGCTTAGACTATTGTTTGAAGGTTAAAATGCGTCTCAAAAACATTAGAAAATGGTAACAAATTAACCCGTTTATAGCTGCAATGATGCATTAGATATACAAAGTTTGTGACAGAGAACGTTTAGATTGAAAGGGATTAATAGATGAAAGACATTTCACATTCATCACAAGTGTATTCTTGATATTTCGTATTTATCATTGGATTGGTTCCAGGTTACCGTCCATTAGTTAATGAAACAAGCAGAGAGGCAAGATATTTTTCATTCGAAGCAATCCGGAGTGAGTCACAAAATCAATAGAGAGATGATCAATCTGGCACGTAGGCTTCGGTATTTTGCCGATTACGACACACATGAGTTCATGGTCAGATCTAACTTTTAACGAATGAAAATGAGTTATTGTGACATGTGACAAAGACAGGCCAGGCCCGAACACTATAAAATGATACCTTCAACATTAGGAGAGGAGAGCGCGGTTTGCAATCGATCGAGTCGAATCCCGATCGTTCTAAGTTTCCCCTATTTAGTGACGAGTCAGGCCAGTCTGATTCTGTCCTGTATTGATAGATGGGCAGAGAGTAAGTAAAACTATGTGAATATAAAGCTGGTGTTGCGTTTCTTTTTTATGCGAGTATGAATGCTGATAGAGACAACTTGGAGTAAGCGTCTTTAGACCAATCACTCCTTGACGGAGCTGAGCCGATGCGGACAAGGCGAGTTGCAAAGTCATGGCTTAATTGACCATGATGACCAGGAACGGCAATACTTTCAGTAACTGTAGTAAGGTCGCATTTCACGCCCGAAACCAGTTAGGGCATGGTGGAATATGCGGGGTTTTTTCTTGGACAAAAGGGGGCACGGGTGGCCCAGTCGTCTGAGGCGCCGCGATTCGCTGTGCAGAGTTGCGTCCCTTGGGCACGCCAGAAACCTATGATTGTGGGTTCGAATCCCGGTTCGCCCCAATTATGTTTCTAGGTTTGTCAGCACCATACCTGTGCTCGTGGGTTTCACTGAAGTGGTAAACGTCTGAGACCTGCATCTCTTCGGGCTTTCCTCCCACATTAAGCTGACACGCCGTGATATAACTGGAATAATGTTAAAAGCGGCGTTAAACCCAACTCACTCACTCACTCTTGAACAAAATGTTTAAGACTATCCAATTCTTTGTTTTTCGTATTGTCGTTCCCATCCTTCAATTTCGTCGCCCCACCCAGACTTACGTTTGACAGTACGGTTCCATTTTTGACGTATTGATAGGCTATTCTGGACTTACATGGTGTAGTTGGGCTTGTAATGTCTCATACACCAAATTCTGATAGATCTACGTCAGGTGACCGTCTTGTCCCATCTCGCCTCCTTACTGGTACGATTTTCTCAAATTCCCCCCGAGTTGTCATAACTCAACCGACGCCCCAACCACCCCTACCGCCCCTTCCGCCCCAGGACCCTTCTCCCCCTATTTCTGTACAGAATTTGGACTTATCCCCCTCTACCAACGTGTTTTTACATCAGTACGCCTGTGTTCTCCCTGGCTTTTCCTCTTTAAGTTTGTCCTCAGGCCCCGACGTACAAAACCCACCCCCTGACTTCAATATGGGAGATTCGACCTTGATGCCAGAACATTTCACTGACAGAGACACGACCCATGCTGCGGAATGGGTTGACCGTTTCCTTCATTTTGGTAA